TGGCCTACTGCAGCCTACTCCTAAGCCCACTGGTCCGAACAGGCAGTGCCTGTTCGGACAAAATGAAAAGTCTGAAACGACACGTCTGCAACAGAGAAAAATAGCACAGACAAACCTCAGTGCTGAACTCAGCAAAAATAGATACATAAATAAAAATTATAATAAAATGCCAAATAAAGAAAACCGATTGGAACAAAATGTGAGTCTGGTCCGAAAACGTGGCTGTGGGCCACCAGGTCGCGCAAAAGAAAGAGTCTGCGCGACCTGGGGCCCGAACAGGGATGTTGGGCCTGATAGGGCCCCGTGTAGAAGCCCCTGGGATGCTACAGTTTATCGTCCACAATGTACGTCTGCGCTTCTACATAAGATTCTGCCCGTGTATGGGCCTCACACCACTACTCACCACATGCCGAAAAAGGCAAAAATTATGGCGGTCTACCTTTCCATGTTCTAGCCGAAGATTCATTCTCATTTCGCACGATCGGTGAGTAGTGGAGTGAGGCCCGACATTTACGAGCGTGAAGCAAGAGTTAGTCTCTGCATGCACATACCACTCCGTGAGTGTGTCCATGCCCCGGTGCACAGACTTCTTCTGTACCTTATTCCTGTTCTTCTTTGAAAACATTGACAACGTCCTTCTCACCCTCGTCTGCAGCCTCTCCTTATTCAATTTTACTTTCTGTTGTCCGACGCTAACGCACCACATGCTCTCATTCCAGATTCAGACGAGGTAGCATCCGTACACTGCTGCCACCGCAAGAGGACGATCAACAGCACGCTCAACGCTCCAACTGAACGAGACCCGCAGCACAGGGAACTCACTATGTCCAGCTCATGCAGCCAGCCGACCTCTCCGCTCTCTCTGCACACAGCAAATCCCTTCCTTGATCGGAGAGATGGCAGGCCCCTCCTTCCATACCTTTCTCCGCCTTTGGGCCATGAGATCAAGTGAAGTATCTTCTGAGTCTTCTGACCAGTTTAATATCCTTTTTTCTTCGTTTTATCTTTTTTTGAAATATAAATTGGACCATTTCTCGATTTATGCGTGTAATCCTTGCGAAGGGGCCATGCTAATCTTCTGTATCATTGCAATTTTAACGGATGTCGCGAAGGACAGACCAGTTTAATATCTGATGCGCAGTCCATTGGGAATTTTTTAAAAAGCAGAAAGAGAGAAAAAAATTCAAAAAATCCCGTCCTCGCCTGATGTTTTTCGGGGTGTGAAACGTGTGAATCAGTCCACTTGAGCTGCGAAGTCGCTAAACTGAATGATGCATGGGCATCCTCTGCTAGCACCGCATGGTGGCTTAATTAGTCCACCGATGTAACAGCTGATAAGCCAATTAAGAGCTCGAGTCCCGCTGCCTACAATAAGGATGACAGTGGGGTCGGGCTCAGTCAAAGCTGTAAATGAAGCTCAAATTTCAGCTGTGCCAAAAAGGAGTTGTGCGTTTGAACTTTGCCCAGCCAGTCCCATGAGTTCTTTAAACTCTTTTCCTTTCTTATTTTTTTTTCTTCCCCCTCCACCCCCCCMCCCCCACCCCCCACCCCCAAAAGACCAGGAGACCATATTTCCAGAGTGCAATTCCAATGACTGTTACAGACAGCAAAAAGGGGTATGAGTCCGTATGACGGACAAATCTTTTTGGAAACAGAACTGTCTGTTCTAGGAATTTGGATTTGCAAAGAATATGAGCGAGGGCGATAGACAGAAATCCAAGTCGCAATTTAAATCACGAAGTAGTCCAGATAGTTATGTACCAAGCAGAGAGCACAATGCACCAAGATACCATCCAAATAAGAGCAATACTGTGAACTTAAGTGCCAATGCCGACGCTCTCCGGTCACACCAACACTGTATCCAATGTCGCTCCTACTGTCTGGCGCCCAGCGCCCAGCCCATACTAAGCCTAACTAGCCTATCTACGTTCATGCAACTGGATCACATCGAAGTTGAAGACCAACGTACGTGACGTCATCACCAATGCCGACCGCCAACATGCACCTGGTACATTCTCTCTCCTCCCCTCATCACCCTTCGACTCCCCACTTCATGCGCCTCCTACCCGAAGACCACCATCGCGATCACCTGCCTGCGCCCCTGCAGCCCGTCTATGGCTGCTGTGCGCCCGCTGCCTCAGCAGCGCCCCTCACCTCAGCGCCCGTGTGCGCGTCCTACCAGCAGAGCCATGCAGACGCTAGTGTAGCAGCGCAGCAGGGTGTCCGAATCGCCTGCCAAGGCCCAAATGCCTTCCCCGGGAGGAAAGTGTGTCCGCGGCTGGCTGGTCTGGCCAGGCATGTGAGGGCCCAGTAGCTTGCCTCGGGCCCCAAGTGTCTGCGCCCAGGCCCAGTTTCAGATACTGGCCTGGGCCTCGTGCAGTTAGGCACGTCCAGGGAGCCACACAGCCTCCAAGTGTTTGCTCATTCTCATTGGCTCGTGGCACATCTGTGCGAGAATGCTGCTTCCTCATTGGCCCGCAACCAGTCCACGACGTGTCGG